GAAACTATCATTTGAAAAATGTATTTAACAGTTTATTCCTATAAACGTTCTTCTGGCTGGCTGTTGACAGTATTTCCTAATTTTATGGAGTGAGAGATATCCAAAAAGAGGTATCCAAAATCCCCTCTGTAAAAACCTGGGCCTCACACTAGCACTTTTGGTGCGCACCCGGGTTCGTTAGGATGATGTTGAACGCTGTTTTCTGAACTCAGGTGCGCACCCGCGAACCGTACCAGAGTCCGAGTTGGTTGGTCGATTTGGTCAGTCGCACTTTAAACACATTTTAGTTTTGCTATAGTAAATCTACAAATTCACACTCTGATTACATAGAGCAGCGGAAGCAACCATAAGGCTGCGCTTCTATTTTGCCACACTAAACTTGGCAATAAACACGTTGAAAATAATGCACAATAAACATGTCAAAACGATCTCAAAGGAGGCTTTTTTTTAAGCAAATCAAGGAGTGAATTACTCATCCACAGACATGTGGGCTTGATTCAAGTTAACGCACAATGGCAGGCGCACACTTTCTATTTAGTCTTACTGAAAATAGACGACAAACAGTTTATATTCTTAAATCTATTTTTAGGTTGTGTTCTGTGTAAATTAATTAACATTTGGATGTAAATGAATAGAACTTAAAAATAGAACACTGAGCCGCTAAAACGGCAGCGTCCTGTCCATCACCTTTATCTGATTGTCCGGGTCCGGAGTTTTTGCGTTATCTCCAGATCTCTCTGCAGTTCAGGTACGTTGTTAAAAACGCTAGTGTGAACGCAGTTTAGGGATGTCGTTACCTCGGCAAAATTATCTTGTCATTTTATCACGTTCCCACGAATTAATATCTCGTGGCCACGACAAAACTAAGTGAACCGGACGTCCCCTCCCGGGTCACCGTATTGTCTCTTTATGCACATACATTTTTGTGGTATTTAGATTACCACTGTCATCTTTTTTTTTCTTTCTTTTTTTTTTTTTTTTTTGGTTAATGAATTTATGTGAATATATTATGAATTAAAATGTCTGAATGTCTTTTATTTGCTTTGTCTCTGCAGCATATCTAGTGGGATGCGTGATCCTCAAATGGGAGGTCCTGCTCGGCCCTATAAGTATATAGTTAATGTTAAATTATTGAATAGCCTTGATAAGATTAGTTATATTTTGAATCAACGTGGTTAGCTGTCTCTAAAATATATTTAGATATAACTACAGCTAATCATAATGTTATCTGTATATATATATATATATATATATATATATATATATATATAACAGGCCTACTATAATTATGGTGAAATTTATCCTGAATGTGTTTGAACCACCAATCTCTTTGTATTAGAGATCAGTGCAGTTGTTGGATTATAATTTTGTTTATAAAATTTATTTGCTATATCCTAATGTATTTTTTAAATATTTAACTCTCTGCATCACTCTTCAGTCCATCCAGTGGTGTGCATCCATCTGTTGACAGCATGACTGATGGACGACCCCGTGAGCCAAACAGGTATGTGGGCAGTACATATGATATTGGTAGATACATTAAACAATGCATTTCAATGTGTTTTTAAGTGTTAACTAAATTCTTCATTGCTCTCCATTGACAAAATGCTAACTATCAGATAATCTGGTACATTTAGCATATGATTAATTAGCATGTATAACTGCTCGTGTGGCTGAAGAGTCTGTTATTGAACTGAATTGTATCAAAACTGAACTGACTCGGGCTGAATTACAATATTGCTGCCATCTGTAGAACTGCTTAATTTGTTTCATAAATGATGAAATGTGTTATTGTTGACACTATCGTAATTTTAGAGAATTTGACTTGTCTACATGAGTTTCCATAATTGATTCTGCTGTTTTCCTGTTTAATACTGTGGAGCTGCTTTGAAGCAATCTGTATTATATAGAGCGCTTTAGAAATAAATATGATTTGACTGAATAATTAAAATGTTTGTTGGATCTGATGAATCTGTCTCTTAAAATGTCACTTTGATTGTCTCCACAGCGTGTACACTGGCATGCGTGACCCTATGGGAGGTCCTGTGCAGCCTTACAGGTAGTTCATAATTCTACATAAAATGATCAAGAGCTCATATGATTTCACCACAGATTCTCTGGCTAAATATATTTTCTGAATGTATATTTATATCAAGATCAAAAATCTGAAAATCTTAGTCTCCATGTTTTGTATTACATGTCCATGTCATGTTTAATTCAGTGGTTTTTGTGTTGTGCATTTGTGTGATTGTAGCAATGGCGCAGTTCGGGGTCAGATTGTTAGCAACCCTTATGCTAGAGATTCACCCAGTAGAAACCCCTATGAAGACCACAGCCCTTCTGCAGACCACCACAGTGATTACACACCACATGCCCCTTCACATACATATGATGAACTGGTATGGTTCAAAAATATATTAAACATTTCAGTTTCAGATTAGTAAATCTTTACGAGTTTATTTGTTTTCCTCCATGGAGTCAGAGAACACTGGGGATATTATGGTACAACATATAGCAAATGCAATTCAGTGGCAGTGTTCTGATAAGACTCAGGGTATGAGCTTACTGTGGATAACAAAGGTCTTCTCTTCAAATAAATCTTCCCTTTGCTCTTTATCCCTTCAACAGAAACCTAACCAGCCCTATTCTCCTGCTCCACTCTATGGTTCCTCTGAGCATGGAAACCTCCGCAATGGATTTCCACGACCCCAATTAAATCTACGATACTAGAACTTTTTTTATTTTTACATGCTCATTATTAGAATGGATCCATTTTGTAATTATTTGATGGGTTAAAATATATTTTGTTGCTCCAGTACTTTAGTTATTGCCTGATGATATAAAAAAATATTTCTTAGTGTTGCTAATTTGTGCTCACTCTTTTAGTATAATACTAGTATTTATGTTTATATG